ACTGTTTAGATAAGGATCCTCTTTCCAGCTATGGCTGTTTGAATTGAATTCCATGGACTGGTTTGATATTATGTGAAGAAGTCAGCCTCACAAGCTCCAGAGGAGGTTAGTGGTGGAATCTCCTTCGGGTACTTTTACTCCTGTCAGTTTGCTTGCCTGGGTGACCTGCCCCACACAATACTGAAGAAGAGAGCACAGCAACTGGAAGCTGCTCCTTTCCTGAATGACAGAAAGGGCAAGTGACCGTGGAATAATAAAAGGAGGAAAAAATTGCCTTTAAGGGATGCCCAATTGCCCTTCAACATTGTCCCTGGGAAGGAAAATACTTTTGTTTAACTACTTTTAACTCACTGCTACCCCACTCATCCAAACTATTGCTACTCCAAAGCATTTCTGAAAGGGGGGAATCCCCCCCCAATCCATTTGTATAAGGGGATTCAACTACTCTGAAAAGTTATAAGAAGAGCAATTATTTACAATGGCTGGCTAGAAATATAACAAGTCACAAACTATGGTTTAGAAAACAACAATAGCCGAATTCAGGCTAAGCCCCAAATCAAACAATAAACTAACCATTTATGGCACAGCATAATATCCAGACTCAGCCCTGCAATAACTCAGTGATTATTCTAAAATCACTGCCATTAAATGCTCAAATCACAAATACCCAGGGCTGGCTTCTAGTACTGCTGTGAAAATTCAAATGTAAATTTAAGCAGGCTTAGACAGAGTTGGAATACTATGGAACACTATATAAGAGGTCCATTTTATGATAAAATGCTTTGGGAGGTAGAGTCATTCAGAATTAAAATATTATTACAACAACCTGCTTTTTACACAATCCATTTTTAGCCAATTCTGGGGATTTTGATAACCAGCAATTGTACTGATTACTAGCATGTAGGAATTAGCATGTAGACGACATGGAAAATCATACACAGTTGTGGAAGTTTGTCTATGGTAACATCAAATGTGCTTTTTTTGCCCATCAGATAGTGTCCTAACTCCCTTCCAAGGGGAAATAACTTGGAATGTAGAGGAAGGGTATATGTATCTTTATCAAGTACAGAATCAAAGACAGCAGAGGGGCCACTCAAAAAATACTTGGTAAATCAACTAAATTTCACCTTCCTATAAAAATGTTAGTGATAGACTGGCACCATTGCATCCTCCTAAGTGTCATTTGGGGGGAGGGGGGAGAGCTTCACTGTCAAGTGCAACTTTCCCCAAAGAATAGACTCCAACTTCCATTTTTTGGCCTGCTGTGCAAGTAAAGTTTTTGCAGTATGGTAACACAGAAAGTTCTTCCTATTTAGCACAAAGTGAGAGTGACTGAGCTAATGCTATGCTGTGCAGCCCAAGCAAGTGGAGGTTGCCCCAGCCCAGCAGGCCATTTACCAGCAGTGAGAGTGCATCTCTTTAGTCTCATTCAACCAACCAACAGTCTCTGGTCTCTCTCATTACCAAATTAAGTCATTAATACATCATAAAATAACAATGCTCTAAGATTTAAAAGGTACAAAAATAAATAGAAATAATTCCATGGTTTTAGAGACAGGGTAGTAAATGCAGTTGCACCTATATATCCTGGTACAATATCAGTATTTCACTAGCAGTAGTTCTCTTATTGAACTTTTAAATGGGGGGCGGGGGGGGCAGGGATTTAGAATTTATCAAGCTATTAAGATGTGAATCTTAGGTTAGCTGTCTTTTGTAAATTCAATACGGAAAAGTTAGCCATGATTTCTTTAGGTTCAACTTATTTGGATGGTATCTAACTAATTTAGTCAGAAAATGATTTGCAAGAAAAGCCAAATTTAAGAATAATAGGACTGTGAACTGGGAATAAAAAAGGGGAACAGAGAGATGGTTGCTAAGAGCACGATGTGAAGTTTATCTGATGACATTGTATTTTTTCCGACTATGTGAGATGTTATGTTTTTAGATATTATAATAATACATATATACATACATAACAATATTAGAAGTCTTCTGCTTACAATTCTGTTGAGTTCTTTGTCCAGAACTGCAGAGGCTTTCCACAAAACTCATCCATACAGGCTGGCCTTAGCAATACTGAGTTTTTTATAACTTCCTGTGGGGCATTTTGTAAGCATCTGACCTCCTACATCATTTGCAAACCTTTTACCTGACCAAGATCATATTCTATAACTTAGTTTGCTTAGGAGGCTACAAGGGTGCATGGAAAACATGCAATGGCAACAGCAAGAAGGCAGCTTAACCCAATTCTATAAGAAAACCAGTCTTATTCAGACACTCTAAGCCATACTTTATAAACAATTATCTGGGAGTAAAGAATCTGCTCAGTCATCAAACATACGTTCACAAGCCACAATAGCTAGGTCACATTCTGCACTAAATAAAAAGTATGTTTTAAACATGATGTGGTATGTTGTACAACCAAATCAAATTATGGATAATGCTCTCAAAACTTTCATTCCTTGTTTAAACTTTGCAATGAGTCTCACCAATTTTCCAAGCACCTCTTTATAATCGTTCAAGCTTCACTGAGATATAGCATGGGTTAATATATATCTTAGTTATGGTTTGTTTTAACCATGTCTTACTAATATGGAATGGCTGGGTTAGATATTTAAGCCATAAACTATACTTAACTAATTCAACAGGCTAAGTCAAAGCCAATAAAATTACATTCTGGCTTAGCATGATAAGTGAACTCAACCAGTAATCCTGTTTCACAATTACATTGAATTAATGATAGTTGTGGAGTGTTAATAAAAAGGTTCAATGGGAATTATATTACTTGTCTGAGCCTAGTGCCCTCTAGAGGTTTCTACACTATAATACCCATCATTCCCTTCTCCATGTCGTCTAGAGATGAAGGCAGTTTTAACTCACTTATCCTACTAAACTCTATGAGACCTGCTTCCAACTACACAAATATAGAATTGCACTGTCATTCTGTCTTACACCTACTATCCTATACTTTCTCGTTTAGGAGAACGTTCTAAGCAGATTTGTGAATTCACATCATAATGATGAATAGAAATATGTCAATTTGACAGGCTAATGGAATTGAATCAATATCCACAACTTTCTGTAATATACACATGTTCTTTTCAGTTACCAATGCAGAACAATATAGTACCCCCCTAATGGAGAAAAAATAGCTGTAGATCTAAACAATTCATAAGGTTACACTCTTATATTCAGAAACAAAGTTCACTGAAACAAATGGGATCTATTTCTATTAAATAAACCTGGACATAGGTTTGAAAAAAATTGTAAAATGTGTTACCCTGAGGACTAAAACATATAGCTGCACAATAGTACAAAATGTCTTCTTTTATCCAAAATTCTCTAGTCTCTCCAGGTATTGAATTTTTGTTTTAAGAAAAACTTTTCAGTGGTATTTCTGATTACCATAAATGTATCTTTTAAACATCACATCTTGCATAATTCTTCATAACAGAAATGAGAAGACTTTAAGCCTGGAATTCATTGTACAGCCCATCTCTTGTGCATTAAACCTGTATATAAATAGCAGCAATTAAAAAGCTACCATGTCTCACCACCTCTCATTTTAACAGTTTCTATTAAAGTCCCCAATAATGTTCACCCCAATAATAATTAGGAAGTGAGAATCAGGCTACTTACCCTTAGATGTGAATGAATAAAAGAGCCGAAAATATTCACTGCTTGTTTGGACCAAAGTGAGAGAAATGAAAGGCACAAGCAACATCCTGCAGCTAAATAAGGACAGCCCTTCCTATCTCTTATATGCTAGAGATGCTTCACTGCTTAAAGAAGGGGGGGGGAGCAGCATGTGTGAATATTGCGTTCCAGAATTCAACAACCAGCTGGCAATTTAATGAGTTAGTGTGCTGACTGAATGAATACATTGCCCCCACCCCTGCTAGCTTTTAATTTAAATTCTCTCTCTCTCTCTCTCTCTCCCTCCCTCCCTCCCTCTCTCTCACACACAAGCAAGCCCAGTCACCCAAAACACATCTGTATATGCATGCTTTTAAAACAGGAACCTTAACTGTGCATTTTGTCGCTCTCAAGACTAGTCCCACGCCGCTGTCCAAGGTCCTGCAGAAATCTCTCCAGCTTTAGGGCACATTCAAAGCAATCATGCCACCTCATTAAGCACCAGTTCTCTGACAAACCAAGCTCTTGGGCTCTTGAAATTCCATTCACAAGCCTGCTGCATCGCAAGTATTCTGCCTACTGCTGGAGGCCTATTCTGATGCAGCCCATATCAGAGTTCTCAACCGCTCTCTTCCTCTCAATGTTGCAGTAAACTGAAACAATAGGAGCCTCTTAGGGAATCAGTATTTTCCCCTCCGCAGGCTGCTTGAACAGAGTTCAGCATATTTCTTAAACCGCTGTACCTGCACAAATCATCTACCGCAACCATCACCAAAGGTGCTTTGTCTAGACTCTGCAGAGTACACACTCTAGAATTTTGTCTGCAGTATCATTCACACACACATTTATATCTATCTATCTATCTATCTATCTATCTATCTATCTATCTATCTATCTATCTATATGCAAAGATCTTCAGTGGTTTTTAAAAATAAACAGAAGCACAGATAACAGGTCTCTTGTGAAAGAAGGATCGCTTCTAGATTCATATATATATATATATATATATATATCCCAAGCAATGCAAAAAGTCACAGTGAATAGCCCTTTTCATGGATATCTCTCTGCACTCACAGCACACCATGAAGGAAATGGATTTGTTTAATTGCTTAATCCATCTAATCAACAGCAATTCTCCCCACAGGCAGAGAAGATGTTTGCTAAGCAAATATATTATCGATTCATTTGCAGACTGTTTCAAAGCCAAAACCTAGTAAAAATATGCTATCCAAGCAAGAAAGCAGAACATATTTTTCTCTCTGAATAATTCCCCGCCACCACCTCGCTTCATTGTACCGCATGACTGTAGGGAGGGGGGGGGAAATCTCTCCGCATACTATTAAACATGCAATTAAAAATATTACCTAAGTAGATGCAGCAAAAGGTCATAATCCAACTTCCATGCTCCCATGAAGCATTAGGCTGAATCCGGAGCTTGTTCAGGTCAGTAGAGTCTCTCTCTCTCTCTCTCTCTCTTTCTCTCCTACACTTGACCTAGACTGCCTTACATAATGAGGAGTCAGAACTGAATCTGGAATGTCATCCTTGGCAGGAAGAGCAAACACTGGCAAGCAGGTGGGCTGGTTTGTGGGAAGATGCCCCAGTCTCTCCCTTTCTTTTCCTCCTGGACTGCTCTGGGAAAAGCAAGCTTAGCTCTGGAAAACCGATGTCCTTCTTCCCCTGGCAGGAATAGCCAGACTAGAGATGAGCGAGCGTTTAGAGAAGCGTGACAGTCAGCAAAAGCTAACCTAACACAATTCCTGCTCTCATTCTACAGGACTGCATAGCAGCAGCTAGTGTGAGCAACAGCGAGGCATAATAAGGAAAGAGGCATGCTTTGCCTGGGTGTCACTGTCTCATGCTGGTGAGCGGAAGGCAAAGGAAGAGGAACTGAAGGTCAGATTCTCTAAAATGAATTTCCTAAAGGGATGTTTAAATCAGCAAATGAACATAGGTAAATGTGTTGCTGCTTAGAGAAAGCAAAACCTTTGGGTCAGTTTCTGTTGTTCAAAGACTGTGTCACATTTTCAGCTAAAGGTATTTGATATGTCTGGAGGTCAATGTATATTATTATATGTGCAGATCGGACTCTAGACTAGAGTTTCTTTTTCATTTTGGCTAGCTAGAATGTTCATTCATTATTTTCTATAGATTATAACCTCAGAATTCCTTGGATGGTTATTTGGCTGAGAAAGGTATCAAACACAAGTAAAAGCGAACACTAATACTTGGTTTTGAATTGAGACTTATGCAGAATTCTGTTACTGGGTAAACTTAAGTCTTTTGTGAGTTACTGTATAATTGTTCAATTTCTTTCTCCTCTCTCGAAGTACTTTTTAACTTTCTAGAAAATGATGGGGAATTTAAAAAATGACTCTCCAATGAAGTGAATATATTTTAAAATTCTTCATTGAAATATTGCATAGATTGATTATGACTGTACAGTGTATTAAATGATGTTGATAATACTATCAAACTATAAAACAGGTAATCTGTCATCTACAATTCAGATGAATTATCCTGGACAATTCAAAATAGATCTTCTCCTCTTCTTGTTGTTGTATTTTATTACTATAGGTAAGTTTCTTCTTAAGAAGGAGGATTGATCAATTAACCATGGTGATAATTAACACCACCACGAGTGTCAGTAATGAATGGAACTTTCTATCAAGAATTTAATCCATTCAGACCATTTATTCTATTAACTACCACAATTATCTGTAAAATAGGAATCTCATAATAGGAGTGAAGAAAAAACACTTTTTATTTTGATAAACAAGACTTGATTCTTTTGATAGTTTGCTCTTATGTGATAGTACTTTGTACATAAAAACTAATGGAAAGAATAATGTATATCCATTCACTCTCTTCAAAAAAGATTCTGTTTAATCCATCTATCCATCCCTCTCCTAAACTTTTTTTGATATGGAGTAATTGGAATTATATGATATTCTAATTCTGCTTGCACCATGTAAATATTATATGACTCTACATGATCTGGCAGCGGGAGATGGTGTAGTGTCCTTCCTATCCTATTGCTAATGTTTTTTCAAATGCTAATTCCCCCCTTTGCCTGTTGCAGCATACCATAGAGATGATTTCAACTAAAGTTGTATTCCTATTATGGTCCTAAGGTCTGTGTAATTATGTCAATTAGGTCTCACCTGCATATTCATTTTCTTCATAATCGTATCTACTAAGATGCCTCTATTCCTTCAAAACCCTCCTTAAGGGGTTGTGTTTTTCTGAAAAACGTAGACAAAGTTTTTTGCCCTGTTGCACGGAAGCTTCAGTTGCTGTAACCGTATTGAATTATGTGTAGATTTCTCTTCTGTCTGGCTCCAGATATTCTGTCGCTTTCTTTGACACAATTGCTTAGAAGCATTTCTGAAGGATCAGTAACACAGGACTAGGGCAAGAGGTGAAAATGGAAGTATATCAGTGGAGAAATCCCATACAAATCCATCTGTGTATGTAACTACATAGCTTATACAGATAGTCTTCGACATACAACAGTTTGTTTAGTGACCCTTCAAAGTTACAACGCCACTGAAAAAAGTGACCAATGACCATTTTTCACAATTAAGACCATTGCAGCATCCCCATGGTCATGTGATCAAAATTAAAAAAAAAATTTTTTTGGAATTGCCATTTTTCTTGGCAACTGGCTCATATTTATGAGGCTCGCAGTGTCCTGGGGTCATGTGATCACTTTTTGTGACCTTCTGACGAGATAAGCAAATGTGGAAGCCAGATTCATTTAAAAACTACATTACAAATTAACAACTGCCATGATTCATTTAATAAATGAGGTAAGAAAGGTTGTAAAAATGGAACCAAAATTCACTTAACAAAGGTCTTCGCCACAGAAATTTTGGGCTCACTTGACCACAATTGAACCCAAAAGCACCTCTCTTGGTAAAACTGAAGTTCTCTTCTGTATATTGGGCAAACACTTATGGTAATTTTTGTTGTTGTTTCAGAAGGACCAGAGAACACAAAGCAGGACAATAGAAACTGCTGTCATCTTTTAATCCTTCCACTTTCCACAGGTGAATCTCCAAGTGTAGAGACAGGATGACTGAGTAGGTGAGCTGAGGACTGTGCTGAGGCTTTGAATAATAGCTGTGGCTATTATTCAGGTAGACCTCGACTTACAACCACTCATTTAGTGACCATTCAAAGTTACAATGGCACTGAAAAAAGTGACTTATGACTGTTTTTCACATGATTGTTGCATAATTTCCCATGGCCGTGTGATCAAAATTCAGATGCTTGGTAACTGACTCATATTTATGACAGTTGCAGTGTCGTGGGGTCCTGTGATCACCTTTTGTGATCTTCTGACAAGCAAAGTCAATAGGGAAGCCAGATTCACTTAATCACCGTGTTAACTAACTTAACAACTGCAGTGATTCACTTAACAACTGTGGCAAGACAGATCGTAAAATAGGGCAAAACTCACTTAACTGTCTCGCTTAGCAAAAGAAATGTTGGACTCCATCCAGGTTGTAAGTTGAGGACTATCTGTAATACCAGTTGATCTTAACTAGGAAGGGAACATAAGTGTGAAAAATTAATCCCATTTCTAACTATTGTCAAGAATCTTTGGAGATTTTTTGCAAATTCAGTGAAAAACCTTGAGAATCTTTTACAGGCATATAAAGCTGAACATGCTTATGAAGTACCCACATTTCGAAACCCGTTTTGACCATTGTAAGCACATTTAGTTAAATACTCCATGATTTCTTTTAGGAATATGCTCCTAAATGAATGAAGAACTTTAAAGGTATGTCAGAATCTTGGAGACAAGATTTCTTTACCCTTTGCTGCTCCTTCTAATGTAATTCTGCTGAAGACAAACTTCTGCTCTGAAGGAGGTTGTATGACTGAACCTTCAATTGCTATCAACAAGTGATTTGCCCATGCCTGCCTAACCATGTGCTTTGGGTTCCTGGAGCTACTACTCATTACCTATTCTTAACCTGTGATTTGATTTTCCTCCATACAACCAAGCAGCTATGAATGTTGAAGTGGGAGACGGTTTTATTTTTTTCTCCCCTTGGTTGCGCAGATCACAATGGGGGTTTAGAACAGAAAGAGAGGGAGAAAAAAAAATGAACAGAGTTGGGGAAAGGCCAGCTTCTTTGTTTGTAAGACAACCTATTCCTTTTTCCAGTAGGACTTGTGTTTCAGAGGCCAAGAGAAGCAATGCAAAACTTGCTGCAGAAATTAGTATGAAACTATGGAATGTATTTTTTTCTCTCTCTTCTATTTATTTAACTTACTTACATGCACCCAATACTATTTTATGAGCTTCTATCTTTACTGTCAAGCAGGCTTCATAGCTACAAAGTTCTCATGGAACAACAACAACAGCAAAAATGATGACCCCTTTCCATTTCTCAAATATACTCTACAGAACATTCTTTAATGTTCTAATACAAGAAGTATCCATTCATGCTCGCAAACAAATGGACTATCCCAAGAATAGGATACCTATAATGAAATGGGGTTCAGTTTTGGATCACTGGTACATTTATCTTAGCTAAGTATCTGCATCTGATTTAACATTTTTAATACAATGAAAAGGGAAAACTCCATTGGAAAATTACCCTACAGTTACTCTAGGCATGGTATAACATATAGTACAGCTGCATGTCAATGAATCAGAGATGGGTTTCAGCAGGTTCTGACCAGTTCTGGAGAACCGGTAGCAGAGATTTTGAGTAGTTCAGAGAACAGGTAGTAAAAATTCTGACTGGCCATGGCCCCCATCTATTCTCTGCCTCCCAAGTCCCAGCTGATCCGGAGGAAGTGGGGATTTTGCAGTAACCTTCCCCTGGATTGGGGACGGAATGGAGAATTTACAGTATCCTTCCCTTGGAGTGGGGTGGGCCACGCCTACCAAGCCATGCCACGCCCACCAGGCCACACCCACAGAACCGGTAGTAAAAAATTTTGAAACCCACCACTGCAATGAATGTATGGGTAATAGGATTCTCTGCTGAATAAGAGGATCCATCCTGAATAAGATTTTGATTTCTGAGCAGGGTGGATCGTTCAAGTTAAGTTTTTTAAATGGAATTCCTCCTTTCCTTTGTATGTGGCAAGTCCAGTTACTGCTATCCCAAAGTAAAAAGGATCCAGACTGCAAATGATGAGAAATATACCTTTCCACCCAAGTAGGTATTGTTAATTTAGGTGGGCAAATCAATAGCAGTTTTGCATATTCTGAGGAGCAGCTGCATTATACAGCATGTGCTTTGTATGCTAGAGATCTTGGTGTCTCCAGGCCAATCATTTCTTCAGAAGAATTACTTTCAGGCAAAACAGACAGGATCATAAATATCCAGGCTCTTCTTGGAATCTTTGTCCTTGATATATTGCTTCTATGCCAGTCTATTTGAGCGCTGGTTAGTTACAATGGCCGTGGTAACCAACGTGTCCCTGAATTGAACCCTTCTTGTATTAAGGATGCGTCTGTTCTAGTCCATTCGGGAAGGGATGGTCAGAATATTACTGGTTTATTAAAGACAGATTTACCGACTTGTGTTCCAGAGAACAAAGTGTTATTTGATCAAAGGGGATGAGGATGGAGTCACACAGTACTGCTGTCTTTTTCAAATCCTACTTGCTTGCTACATCATTTATAAGAAGAGAACAAAGCTTTGGCGGCAGTCCTTAAACCACTGAACTGTCCCTTTAGTTTCTGTATTTCCAAGTCTGAGCAAATGAGTTAAGAAGATTGTTGGGAATGTTAAAAGGTTTCTAAATGTACATTCACAGCCCTGGAAATCAATTACAAAAATGAAAACTAATACAAACTAGACTCAG